GAATCTTCATAGACGATTGGTCTGCAGTTTCCTGGGTCTGGTTTTTTGTTTTTTATTTTCATTTTTTTAAACATGGGAGCCACTTCAGCTCTTTTCCAATCCTCTGATAGTTCCCCAGTGCTCCAGGATTTTTTAAAGATACGGTACAATGGTACTGAAATAACATCTGCCAGCTCCTTCAGAACCCTGGGATATAATCCATCAGGTCCCAGTGATTTATATTCATCAAGATCAGAAAGGTGTTCCCTTATCATTTTCTTGCTTATTTTAATTTTTATTTCTAGTCTGTCTTTTACAGTTATGTTTTTGGTAGGTTGGGCTATAGTTTCATTTTGCGTGAAGACTGATGCAAAGATGGAATAAAGCACCTCACTTTCTCTCTACTGCCTATTACTTCCTTGCCATCTTCTCTCTTTAGTAGACCGACTTTTTTCTTGACTTTTTTCTTGTTATTTATATGTTGAAAGAAACTTTTTTTAATTATCTTTGACTTTTGTTGCAAGTCTTTGTTCATTCTGAGCCTTTGCTTTCCTGATTTCACCTTTGCAGTTTCGGGCTATCTGCTGATATTCTGCCTTTGTTATGTGTCCCTCTTTCCATTTTTTTATATGTACCCTTTTTGTCTTTCACTTTACCAGAGAGATCTTTGTGCAACCATGCTGGTTTCTTCTTGGATTTCTTCTTTTTCTTTTCAGTGGTATTGTATTGGCCTGGGCTTTTATGATCATATTTTTCAGAGTTTCTTGAGTTGTTTTCCCCTTTAGGATTTTCATCCATGGAATTTTTCTTAGGCTGGCTCTGAGTTTGTCAAAATCAGCTCTTTTAAAGTTTAAGACTCTAGCTGGATTGTACTCTATTGCTTGTGTTTGCATTATATTAAATTCCAATATGACACGGTCACTCTCACCCATGGTTCTGGCAATTTCAACTCCCTCTTTCACTTCTTCTCTATTAGTAAGAATTAGGTCCATTATACCTTTTCCTCTAGTTCCTCTAGTTCTCTCCCCCAGAGATCCGGGTGATTCCGGATCTCCCCTCCTTTCGCCGCGCCCTTAAGACCTGGTTATTTGTCGCCCGTCCTGACCGGATCCCCATAAAATTTAACCAAAATTGTTTTAAAAATCATATTCGCCGGATAACTTATAGATAAAAATTAATGAAAATTTAAAACATAATATAACATAATAACAAAAATTCGACCGTGTAAGCCGCCCTGAGTCCTCCGGGAGAAGGGCGGGGTATAAATTTAATAAAACTAAAACTAAACTCTACCTTTTGAATGATGAAGTTGTCAGCTAAATTGGTTAGGAATCTGTTCGATCTCCCACTTGCTGCAGAATTTGGCTCCCAGTTGATATCAGCATAGTTAAAGCCTCCCATTATGACTGTAGTATGTTTCGTATGTACATGTGTTAATTGATTAGCGAAGAGTTCATCTATTTTTTCTGCTTGGTTGGGTGGCCTGTAGTATACACCTATAGCAATGTCATTTTTATCCTTTTATATTGCCCGATACGGATTTTCATCCTTGCTTTTGTGTATTTCTGTAGAGATGTAGTGATCTTTTATATAATGCAACTCCACTTCCTCTTTTGTTAGGTCTGTTTCTTTTGAACAGTTTGTATCCTTCTATCAGTACATTCCAGTCATGAGTTTCATACCACCAAGTTTCAGTAATGGCAACTCTATCATATCTGCCTTCTTGTACTAATACTTCAAGTTCACCCTGTGTATTCCCTAAACTTGAGTGTTAGTGTACAGGCATTTGAGCCCTTTATGGGTCTTGGATATGTTTCTTATATCTCCTACTTTGTAAGTGGGATTTCCATCCGTTCCATCACTCTCTAGTTCATTATGTTTTTAGTTTTTTTATTTCTTTTTTCTCTTTACTCCCTACCTCTTTGTGTGATTGGTTATCTAGTGGTTTTTGCATGAAATTAGGTTCTAAAGGTCGTGACGATTGGCTGGCCGCCCTTCTCAATTTTAGCTTAAAGCCGCTTTGAAAAGATGAGCCAGTCGTTTTCTGAATATATTCTTTCCAATTGTGAGGTTCACTCCATCCCTTGCCAGTAGCCCTTCATGTAAGTAATGCAGGCCCAAGCCAAAGCCCTGTTGATGACACCAATTTTTAAGCCAGTGGTTCATTTCTAAAATACTTGCTCCCTCATTGGATGTTGGCCTTTTGTTGGAAGTATAGATGAAAACATCACTTGTGCTCCTAATTCTTTATTTTCTTCCCTTGCTGTTTGTAATCTCCTGTTATTGTTTTCAGATTCATTATTGTGTCATTGGTCCCCACACGTAAGAGAAGAAAGGGGTAGTAATCCTTGGGGTTGATTATTTTAGTAAGGTATTCAGTTACATCTTTGATTTTTGCTCCATGGATACAATGTACCTCCCTAAATTGATAGAGAGTAATAGAGAAAGAGAGCAATAGAGATAGAGAGATAGAGAATGATAGAGACAAAGAGATAGAGAGTAATAGCGACAGGGAAATAGAGAATAATACAGGTATTCCTTCAGGTACGAACCTAATGGAGCCTGGTCATTAGGCTCGTAAGTCAAAAAGCGCATCAAATGAATCAGACTCAATTTTACAAATTTTTAAAATCAAAATCATTAATTAAATCAAATGGGTTGTTAAATGAATGAAGATCTGACTTACTATTTCCTCCAATGGCTGTCATGTTAACTTAACTGAGACAGTTGCACGCCGGCTGCCTATCAGCTGTTTCCTATGTGGACTCAGGAACTAAATTGCCTCCAAGCAGGGCTTGCAGCCATTGCAGCTCAAGCGTCTTCAGCTGCCGAAAGGGGAGGGGTTGTTGCTTTAAAAAAAAACCTACTTGCCACTAATTAGCTTAAGAGTCTCCAGCTAGGTACCCAGAGGGAGATGGTGGAGGGATTTGCAGAACTCTCAGCTTGCAACAGTAACAGAGATGGAAGGGACTTGAGGTCATCTAGTCTAACCCACTGTTCTCACAAGAGAGTATTTCGGATAAATGCCTATCCAGTCTCTTCTTAAAAGCTTTCAGTGATGGGGCACCCACAACTTCTGAAGGCAATTTAAATTTAAAACCTACAAACTACAGTAATATACGCTTAGCTCCAAAATAAAAGGAAACACAACGTTATAGAATTCTTGGTGTAAATCCTGGCTAGCATTTCTACAAATGCAAAAGACAAATGCAATCAAACTTTATCTTTGTAAAGTACTGTACTTACAAACACAATAGTTTGCAATGTACAGTACTTAAAAAGCAGAGCACTTCCCAAAGTGAGACAGAGACAGAGAGATAGAGAATGACAGAAAGATAGCAAGGGAGACAGAGAATAAGAGAGAGAGAGTAAGAGAGACAGAGAGATAGAGAGTAAGAGAGACAGAGATAGAGAGTGACAGAGAGTGACAGAATAAGAGAGTGACAGAGAGATAGAGAGGTAGAGAGATAGACAGAGAGATAGAAAGAGAGACAGTGTAAGAGAGAGAGACACCGAGTAAGAGAAACAATAATAGAGAGAGAGTAATAAAAATAGAGAACAATAGAGATAGAGCAACATAGAGAGATGGAGAATAAAAGAGAGAGAGATAGAGTAACAATAATAATAATAATAATAATAATAATAATAATAATAATAATAATAATAGTAAAGTTGGAAGGGATCTTGAAGGTCATCTAGTCCAACCCCCTGCTCAGGCAGGAAACCCTATACCATTTCGGACAAATGGCTGTCCAGTCTCGTCTTAAAAACTTCCAGTGTTGGAGCATTCACCACTTCTGGAGGCAGGTTGTTCCACTGGTTAATTGTTCTAACTGTCAGGAAGATTCTCCTTAGTTCTAGGTTGCTTCTCTCCTTAATTGGTTTCCATCCGTGGCTTCTCATCCTGCCTTCAGGCGTCTTGGAGAATAGCTTGACTCCCTCTTCTTTGTGGCAGCCCCTGAGATATTGGAACACTGCTATCATGTCCCCCCTCGTCCTTCTCTTCGTTAAGCTAGACATACCCAATTCCAGCAGCCGTTCCTTATATGCTTTAGCCTCCAGTCCCCTAATCATCTTTGTTGCTCTTCTCTGTACTCTTTCCAAAGTCTCAACATCTTTTTTACATCGCGGTGACCAAAACTGGATGCAGTATTCCAAGTGTGGCCTTACCAGGGCATTGTAAAGTGGTATTAACACTTCACGTGATCTTGATTCTATCCCTCTGTTAATGCAGCCTAGCACTGTGTTGGCCTTTTTGGCAGCTGCAGCAGACTGCTGGCTCATATTTAGGTGATTGTCCACTAGGACTCCGAGGTCCCTCTCACAGTTACTACTATTGAGCAAGGTGCCACCTATGCTGTACTTGTGCATTTGGTTTTTCTTGCCTAAATGTAGAACCTTGCTTTTTTCACCATTGAATTTCATTTTGTTAGATAGTGCCCAGTGTTCAAGTCTGTCCAGATCCTTCTGNACAACAAAGAATGAGAAGCAGCATTAAAATACAAAACAAACCGTCAGTCAAAACCTTTTCTACTTCTTCCAGAAAGTGTGAAAACTCTTCTCCTTCCTCAGCAGATGAGAAGCAAGGGAGAGAATAACAAGAAAAAAAGTTTTGAGCTGGAAAAAATAGACCATGTGCAACTCAAGGAAACATTACATGAGACGTCAAAGGGGATAATTTCCAAATAAAGAACAAGTGGGAAATACCTGGAAGTCAGTTGGAAGGAAAAAGTATCTTGGGTAGCCAAAATAGGCAGGCATTAATTAAAACCTTTGAGGAAGAAAAGAGCGGCTTGAATCAAAGAACCTCCAAGTTCTTTGATTCAAAGATATATTTTTGGGCTCCTCAAGAATCCAAGAATATCAGTCTTGGAAAATCCCCACAGACTGCCTATTGTGGGAAAAACACAGACTGCAGATCACAGCTAATTATGCACAAGTGGATCCATACAGTGAAAAGACAAATTTTTGGAGTGCGACTAAAACTTTACTCAGAACAGCTTCCCCATAATTCATGGAAGGACCCATTCCGGAGAAAAGCTCTACCAGTGTTCCCAATATAGCAAAAGATTTAGCATGCAGACCAATCTAGTGAGACACAAAGGGACTCCCACTGGGGAGAAAGTCTTTGAATGTCCTGATTGTGGGAAAAGTTTCACACGGAATTATCACCTGGTGATACACCAGAGGACTCACACAGGAGAGAAACCCTATGAGTGTCCAGTTTGTAGGAAAAGTTTTGGTCAGAATTCCCACCTGGTCATACACCAGAGGACTCACACTGGAGTGAAACCGTATGAGTGTCCAGATTGTGGGAAAAGTTTCAGTCAGAATGCCAATCTGGTCAGACACTGGAGGATTCACACAGGAGAAAAACCATATGAGTGTTCCGACTGTGGGAAAAGTTTCAAATGGAATTCCTCCCTGGTGAAACATCAGAGGGCTCACATGGGTGAGAAACCATATGAATATCCTGATTGTAGGAAAGGTTTCCATCAAAATTCTGACCTGGTGATAGACCAGAGGACTCGGACAAAAGAGAAACCATATGAGTGTCCGGATTGTGGGAAAAGTTTCAGGCAGAATTCTAAGCTGGTGATCCATCAGAGGACTCACACAGGAGAGAAACCGTATGAATGTCTGTATTGTGGGAAAAGTTTCAGTCAAAATTCAAACTTGGTGATACACCAGAGGACCCACACAGGAGAAAAACCATATGAATGTCTGGATTGTAGTAAAAGTTTCAGTCAGAATTCCTACCTGGTGAAACACCAGAGGACTCACACAGGAGAAAAACTGAATGAGTGCCTGGATTGTGGGAAAAGTTTCAATCAGAATTCCTTCCTGGTGGAGCACCAGAGGACTCACACAGGAGAGAAGCCGTATGAGTGTCCGGTTTGTGGGAAAGATTTCAGTAGACGGTCTAGTCTTATAAATCATGTAAGGTTACACACAGGGGAGAAACCATTCAAATGCCCAGATTGTGGAAAGTGTTTCCCACAGAATTCGACCTTTATCAAACACAAGAAATTCCATATGAGGTGAAATTCAATGTGTGTAGAGAAATCTTGAATTTCCTTTCGCTTCTCCCCTTGGAAGCCCAGCTGAGAAACTAAGCATTTAATTTCTTGCCTCATTCTTTTTAGTCAAATATGTCATAGTATCAGACATGAGGGAGGAGATCTGAATTTCCTTTCTCTGGCCTAGTGCAGTCATTTCCTTTCACTGAGTCGAAACTGCTATGCTGAGCCAGAGAAAGCGAACCTAGATCTGTATTAGGCGTTATTTGGCACCTTGGGGTATTTCTACGTATCATTAAGTGGAATATAAATACGTATGTATGTCTATATTTTTATTTATTATAAAAATGTATATTGCAGCCCAACTTCCCGTGACTTTGGGCAGCTTGCAGCAGTGAAATTTAATACAGAAACCAATATATTACAAAGGGCAAAATGCAAAGCCACCACATTTAATGTTTACTTGCCCTGCAAATACAGGGCACCTCTAGCAAAGGTGATGGCATTTTGACGAACTGGGAGCCTCAAAAAGGTTATTCTTGGCTTTTCTTCAATTTAAAAGTTATTATTATTATTTACTGAATTTATATACCGCCCTATCTCCCTTACGGGACTCAGGGCGGTGAACAGGCGATAATAAAAACCACGATGATAATAATAATAATAATAATAATAATAATAATAATAATAATAATAATAATAATAATAAAAAAAAAAAGTTAACCAGGCCTCCTGGCCTTACTAACTGCCTTCATGCCTAGTGCCATTCTTGGTCAAAACTGGTAATCTTTCTTTTTGCAAGGACTTAAACTGGAGAAGTTTACCTCAGGGTTAGGGACATATAAATTTGATCAATAAAGAAATGCAAAGACTTTCAGTGCCTCAAGCAACTTGCAGATGGGCAGTCTCAGCTGGGCCATTTTTCAGATTCCTCTCTTTTTCCTCTGATTTATTTAAAATATTTAGGTAGCCACCCATGTAATAACAAACTCTGGCCAGCTTCCAATCAATTATTAACTTAAAAACCGTATTAAAACCAAATGTATATAAGCAAAAACCAGGTATGAAATGAAACTTCTGATGCACAGTCCTCTCTTTTTGTCCCAGTGCTTAGGGGAAAAGCTAGATCTTCCTTGCTTTACTGAGGACTAGGAGGATAATGGCCTGCCATACATCAGGGGAAAGAGTGTCTCACAGGGCAGGCTCTGCAACGGAAAAGGCTCACTTCCTAGCTCCTGTCAAGATGGCAATATTTAAGAGAAGGGGCTAGGTCAGTGGTGGCGAACCTTTGGCACAGGTGCCAGAGGTGGCACTCAGAGCCCTCTTTGTGGGCACACACGCCATCGCCCCAGTCCTAGACCCATTGGCTGGGTTTTATAAAACCTTTTCGCTTTAGGCCTCTGCCGCCATCTGCAAAAAAGTGGCCCATTGGCTGGGTTTTATAAAACCTTTTCGCTTTAGGCCTCTGCCGCCATCTGCAAAAAAAAAAAAAAAAAGGTTCAATCAATCAGTCAATTTCAACTTCTTGCGCGGAAAAAAAGATCTCACAAAGTTGGAATTGATTGATTGAACTTTTTAGTCCCACCCAGTCTGCCATTACCACCGCAGCCACACCCAGCCAATGGGCCACACCCAGCCAATGGGCCACACCCAGCCAATGGGCCACGCCCACCCGGCACCCGACGATGCATAAGTGGGTTTTGGGTTGCAGTTTGGGCACTCGGTCTCTAAAAGGTTTGCCATCACTGCCTTAGGATGAGACAGAACGAGCGTGGTCTTTGGCCTAACATCGCTAGAGGGCGCTCTACAAAGAAGCAACACTCACGCCTAGAAAGCAGGTACGGAATAGCGGAGGCACAGCTATTATAAGGAAGCAGCTCCTGGCAGGTGAGTGGAGGGCAGGTCGGAGTAGAAGCCGGCAGTAAGTCGGGCTCTTTGGTTTCCTCCGCGGTGTGGAAGCAGCGAAGGGACGAGGCTGAAACCTGTCAGCTGCTGCTGCCTATTTTTTCCGTCCCCAAATGCCATTATCCGTATGCCGCACGATTTAAAACTGCTGCCTGTAATTTTCTGCTGGGAGATTTGGGACATCTAAAAAGTCTTTATTTTTCATATTTCTTAACCGCCCAATTCCCTCCGTCATCACGTAACACTCGGTTCTTTGTGATTTTTATGGACATGTTTTTATGGCAAGCGAGTTTCATGGGCAAAACGGATACTTTAAATCTTGCCGAGGATTTGGGCACCATTTTGTCTATTAGTGTCACCACCTTTGGACATTTAAATTTTAAAAAAAATGAATGAATACACTTCTGGGATGTTTTGCACACTGAAATACACACAGATTGTCTATACACATACATTCATAGGTTTTTATTTCTGTTCAAATATGCACTCGTATTTGTGTGATCTGTCCAAGCCAAAAACAGAATTTGATGATTGATTCGATATTTGAACTTGGATCTTGCTAACCTTCTATATGCCAAATGAATCATAATTAACGTTAGAGCAGGGGTCTTCAAACTTGGCCCTTTTATGACTCGTGGACTTCAACTCCCAGAATTCCTCAGTCAGGCACGCTGGCTGAGGAATTCTGGGAATTGAAGTCCACGAGTCATAAAAGGGCCAAGTTTGAAGACCCCTGCGTTAGAGGTTAAATTACGATTTTGGTGTTTGTTTTATCATGTTAATATATGGAGTGGTTTTCCTCTTTCACATGTTCTGCAGCCATTTTTTTTAAACAATAATGTAACTAACCCATTAATATGGATCTTACAGACAAAGAGGATGCTAAGAAGAAAACTGAGACTGAGAAGCAGCATTAAAATGCAAAACAAGGCATCAGTCAAAAAAATGTTTCATTTCCTCCGAAAAGTGAAAACCTCTTCTCCTTCCTCAGCAGATAAGAGACAAGGGAGAGAATAACAAGAACAAACTTTCAAGCTGGAAAAATATATACGTGGAACTCAAGCAAACATTACATGAGAAGGCAAGGAGGATAATTTTCAAATAATGAGAAAGTGGGACATACCTGTAAGTCAGTGGGAAGAAAATGATCCCTTGGATAGCTAAAAGGGGAAGATATTAATTAAAGCCTTTCAGAAAGGAAAGAATGGCTTGAATCAAAGTACCTCCAGGTAAAAGATCAGAAATATTTTTGACCACCTCAAGAATCCGAGAATATCAGTGTTGGGAAAAAAAACCCAGACGGCTTATTGTGGGAAAAACACAGGTTGTAGATCACAGCTGATTTGATTATAAACGAGAGGGTCCACCCAATAAAAAGCCATAGAAATGTTTGGAGCGTGGCAAAAACTTTACTCAGAACAGCTTCTTCATGATTCATGGAAGGACCCATACCAGAAAGAAGCTCTATCAGTGCTTCCAGTATGGCAAAAGATTTAGCATGCACACAAATCTGGTGAGACACAAGACAACTCATGCTGGGGAGAAACTCTTTGTGTGTCCTGATTGTGGGGAAAGTTTCACAAGGAATTCTGACCTGGGGATACACCAGAGGACTCACACAGGAGAGAAACCATATGAGTGTCTGGATTGTGGGAAACATTTCAGTCAGAATTCAAACCTGGTGATACACCAGAGGACTCACACAGGAGAAAAACCATATGAGTGTCCAGATTGTGGGAAAGCAAATTCTGGTTAAGCTCTATGCTTAGCAGAGCAAGGCCTCTGAAAACTGAAAACTTTATGGGAAAGATATGACAATAAAAATCTTACAATTACATGGTTTTCATAAAGATGTGCACCCTTGAACTGATATTTTCTTGGAGCACTTTTGGATTTTATCACAGCACGCAGGGCAGGAATCTTTAGACCGGCTTTCTGCAAACTGGTTTCCTCCAAGTGTTTTGCTGCTGGGGAATAATAAGGCGGAAAGGTAACAAGGTTGGGAATTGGGAAGGCTGCTCTGAGCCATTCTGCCACCTAGCAAGATTTAGACCCCCCAATAGATTGTATCTACCTCTTGTCTTAGGTGGGGTTCAGAAGCAATATGTTTCATTATTGTATTAATAGGATGTAGCTGACAACCATTTATGACCACACAAAAAAACAAGAACTTCATGACCTTTAGGGCGTAGCACTTGGCTAAACCTCTGAGCATAAGTAGTGCCAAGCTTCCCTCTTCGAGGAGTTATTTGGCAACCCTCCCCCCAGAAAAAAAAAAACTGGCTGGAACAATCTTCACCTGTGCACTTTCTCGTTGGCTATTGTACGTAATCTCCCCCCTAGGATGATTCCCTTTGGTTTAGTTGCAGCAAGAGGGATAATGAGTTCACTCTTGGGAGACCTGAAAGAAAAGGTTTGGGATAGATTGTCATGGATGAAATCTATTCATGTACTCGGTGGGAGTCGAAGCCGACTTGGTGGCACATAAGGAACCACGTAATCCATGAAAACATCATGCAAACGCTTTAGAGTAGAGATAGAACGAGCGTGTTTTTCAGCCTTGTCACTAGATGGCGCTCTACAAAGAAGCAACAGTCGGGGCTAGAAAACAGTGAATACAGTTCAGTAGTGGCATTGCTAGAGGCGGAGAAGGAACGAGTTGAAACGATAGAGGATTGGCTTGCTAGAGAGGACTTTGGGGGAAAGGGCAGAGGAACTTCCTCTTCCGGCTCACTTATGGGAGGAGGATGGCGTCGCTGGTGCCTCTTGTGCAGTTTCGATGGTCGAAGCCGCTCCTGGGAGGTGAGTGGAGGGCAGGTCGGAGGAGAAGCCGGGAGCAAGTCGGGCTGTTTGGTTTCCTCGGCGGTGTGGAAGCAGCGAAGGGGCAAAGCCGAAACATGGGTGATGCTGCATATTCTTTCTCTTCTCCAAATGATATTATCCTTAGGCTGCATGATATAAAATTGCTGCCTGTGATTTTCTGCTGGGAGATTTAAAAAGTCTTTGTTTCATATTTCTTACCGCCCATCAACCTCCGTCTTGTGATGTTACTGACATGTTGTTTTCCTGGCAAGGGAGGAGTTTCATAGGCAAATGGATGCTTTAAAGCAGTGTTTCTCAACCTTGACAATTTTAAGGCATGTGGACTTCAACTCCCAGAATTCCACAGCCAGCAATGCTGGCTGTGGAATTCTGGGAGTTGAAGTCCACATGCCTTAAAATTGTCAAGGTTGAGAAACACTGCTTTAAACCTTCCATAGGCTTTGGGCACCATTTCATCTATTAGTGTCTCCACCTTTCCAAAATTAGATGAAACAAATTGAGTGAATCCATTTCTGAAACATTTTGAAGACTCAAACACACATAGATTTTCTACATACATAAATTTATAGGTGTGTGTTTATCTGTGCTTATACCTGTATCTATGTAAAGCTAAGTATTTTCAGGTAATTTTAATAACAGTTTGCAATGATAACAATTTCTGATTTACCCAAGCCAACAAGAGAATTTAATGATTTCAAATATGAGTGGATATTTGAACTTTGATTTTGCTAGTCTTCTGTGTGCCTAATGAATCAGAATGAACGCTAGCCGTTAAAGCGGCATTTTGATATGTTTGCTTTTTCATAGTAATATTTGGTTTGGTTTTGCTCTTTTCACAGGTTCTGCAGCCATTCTTTAAACAATAATGATAATAATTGATTAATATGAATCTTATAGAGGATGCCAAGAAGAGCACTCTGGACAACAGAGAATGAAAAGCAGCATTAAAATGCAAAACAACCCATCAGTCAAAATCTTTCCCACTTCCTCCTGAAAATGTTAAAACTCTTCTCTTTCCTCAGCAGGTGGAGGGAGGACAAAGGAAAGAATAACAGGAACAGAGTTTTCAGGTGCAAAAAATAGATTAGTGGAACTCAAGAAAATATTGCATGAAAAGGTAAAAAGATATAATTACCAAATTCATAAAAAGTGGGAAATAGGTAGACATCAGTGGGAAAGAAAAGATCCTTTGGATAGCCAAAGGCATTAATGAAAGCCTTTCAGAAAGGAAAGAGTGTCTTGAATCAAAGCACCGACAGATAAGGGATGAGAAATATTTTTGGCCTCCTTGTGAATCCAAGAATATCAGTGCTGAAAAAACCTCACAGTCTGCCTATTGTGGAAAAAAAAAACAGATTGCAGATCACATGTTTGGAGTGTGGCAAAAGCATTGTTCAGAACAGCACTCCATTGATTCATGGAAGGACCGATGCAGGAGGAGCAGCTCCACCAGTGCTCCCAATGTGGCAAAAGATTTAGCATGCACACCAATCTGGTGAGACATGAGAGGACTCACACTGGAGAGAAACCCTTTGAGTGTCCTCTTTGTGAGAAAAGTTTCACATGGAATTCTGACCTGGTGATACACCAGAGGACTCACACAGGAGAGAAATCATATGAGTGTCTGGATTGTGGGAAAGGTTTTAGTTATAATTCTGAATTGGTGAAACACCAGAGGACTCACACAGGAGAGAAACCATATGAGTGTCTGTATTGTGGGAAACGTTTCAGTCAGAATTCAAACCTGGTGATACACCAGAGGACTCACACAGGAGAAAAACCATATGAGTGTCCAGATTGTGGGAAAGGTTTCGGTCACAAATCCCAACTGGTAAAACATCTGACGATGCACATGGCACAGAAACCATATGAGTGTCTGTATTGTGGGAAAGGTTTCAGTTGCAATTCCGATCTGGTGGTACATCACAGGACTCACACAGGAGAAAAACCGTATGAGTGCCCCATTTGTGGAAAAAATTTCAGTCAGAATTCCAGCCTCATAGAGCACCAGAGAACTCACACGGGAGAGAAACCATATAAGTGTCCAGATTGTGGGAAAGGTTTCAAGCATAATTCCAAGGTGGTGATACACCAGAGGATTCACACGGGAGAGAAACCATATGAATGTCAGGAATGTGGAAAATGTTTCAGTCAGAATTCCCATCTGGTGAAACACCGGAGGACTCACACAGGAGAAAAACCATATGAATGTCTGGATTGTGGGAAACGTTTTGGTCAGAAATCCACCCTGATGAAACACCAAAAGACTCACACAGGAGAAAAACCATCTGAGTGTCCAGATTGTGGGAAAAGTTTCAAGCATAATTCCAAGCTGGTAATACACCGGAGGATGCACACAGGAGAGAAACAATATGAGTGTCTGTATTGTGGGAAAGGTTTCAGGCAGAATTACAAGCTGGTAATACACCGGAGGACTCACACAGGAGAGAAACCATATGAGTGTTCGCATTGTGGGAAAAGTTTCAATCGGAATTGCGACCTGGTAAGACACAATATGACTCACACAGGAGAAAAACCATATGAGTGTCCAGATTGTGGGAAAAGATTCATCCGGAATTCTGAACTGGTAATACATAGGAGGATTCACACAGGAGAAAAACCATATGAGTGTTCAGATTGTGGGAAACGTTTTGGTCAGAATTCCCACCTTGTGAAACATCTGATGATTCACACAGGAGAGAAACCATATGAGTGTTTGTATTGTGGGAAAAGTTTCATTCAGAATTCAAACCTGGTGATACACCAGAGGACTCACACAGGGGAAAAACCATATAAGTGTCCAGATTGTGGGAAAAGTTTCAGGCTTAATTACAGGTTGGTGATACACCGGAGGATTCACACGGGAGAGAAACCATATGAGTGTCCAGATTGTGGGAAAAGATTCATCTGGGATTCCAACCTGGTAACACACCAGAGGACTCACACAGGAGAAAAACCATATGAGTGTCCAGATTGTGGGAAAAGATTCATCCGGAATTCCGCCCTGGTAATACATAGGAGGACTCACACAGGAGAAAAACCATATGAGTGTCCAGATTGTGGGAAAAGTTTCAGTCAGAATTCCAGCCTGATAGTCCACCAGTGGACTCACACGGGAGAGAAACCATATGAATGCCCAGATTGTGGGAGAGATTTCAGTAGTAGGTATAGACTTATAAATCATGTAAAGTTACACATAAGAGAGTAACCATTCAAATGCCCAGATTATGTACAGTATTTTGCAGAAAATTCCTCTCTTATTACAGGAGAAATTCCACATGAGGAAAAATTTGATCTTGAATTTTGTTTCTTGTCTCTTACTGGAAGCCTAACTGAGAAATTATTAATTTCTTGCATGATTCTTTTTAGTCAAGCGTGTCCTATTAAACATGAGGGAAGAGATCTGAGCTTCCTTTGTCTGGCCCAGTGCAGTCGTTCTCTTTCACGGAGCCATGGTGAACTGTTGTGCTGGACCAGAGAAATCGGGCTTAGATCTGTATTAGGTATCTTTGCCACCTTGAATTATTTCTACATATAATATGGGGCATGCATCAATATTTGTTAAGAAAATGTATGTATCCCAACTAATGGTGACTCCACACCATTTACAGCAATAAAACCTGAATACAGAAACCAATAGACCCCATACATTGCAAATGGCAAAATGCAAAGACCCCACGGTTAACATTTACTTGCCCTATAGATACAGGGCACTTCAAGCAAGATTGATGGCATTTTGATAGTCTGGGAGTCCCAAAAAGGTGATTCTTGCTTTTGTTCAATGTAGAAGTTAACCAGGCCCCCTGGCCTTACTAACTACCCATTGGGAACCCCATATTAATAAAACATATCTTATGTGTGGCCAGAATTTGAAAACAACGTTTAATATGGCAGAGTACTTGAGTAAAATGGTTTGGCTGAGATCAGCATATGTGGGACTGATTGGGGTAGATTTTAGGAGTGATACTGAAATATAATTCTATCTTATTTTGCTATCTATCAAATTGTTGTATTTTACTCCAATTTCATTTTGTTTTTATATCAATAATTGATGTTTGGTATTCTGTATTCTGATATGGCCTATGGACTAATCGATAAACTAGGGCAGGGCCTGCAATGGAAAAGGCTCACTTCTTAGCTCCTATTAGATGGCAATATTTAAGGGAAGGGGCTAGGACTGTGGGCCCCCTATTTGACCTTGTAGAACAGATAAATGCAAAAATAAAGGTGGGACAAGGTCGAGGTTGACTCCATCCCTGCGAGATGAGTAAAATGAGGATCCAGTTTGTTGGGTGCAATATGCTGACTCTGGAAATCAAGAGCACTGTGGGGTGGTATATATGTCTAAGAGCTATTGCTATGATAAATAGCTTTAAAGGTGATGACCAGCATCTTGAATTGCACCTTAAAGAAACAAATCCAGGGCAACTTGCACCAGAAAGATTTACATGGGCAACCTAGGGGCCCACATTACCTTGTGCGCTGCAGCATTCTGGGCCAGTTGAACTTTCTGGGTGGTCCAGTGCAGTGATCCAAATTGGAGGTGACCGAGGCACGAGGCCTCCCTGTCCAGGAAAGGGCAGGATTGATGCAATCTATGCAAAGCCCTTCCCCCAACATGGCCTCCCCAAGCAGGAACCGTCAGTCCAGGAGGACCCCCAGGTTGTGCACCAGCTGAGTCGCCCAGGTTTTTTTCTCCTGCACAGCCCTTTGTTTGGGTGGCAAAGTCAGAGCTGCAAGCAGAGGGTGAGTCGAAGTTCCAGGCCGTCAACCTTTCATTGTCCTCTTCAACCACACTTACAAAACATCTTAATCTGCTGAAATGCCTTGAAATCCTTTGCCAGGAAAACCTCTCATGATTTTGTTCTGCATAGTAAACTGCTGTTGAAAGTGGGAAGTCAGCCCCCCAGAGAAGGAAATATTAGAAAGGCAGAAAAAAGAGCAAGCACATATAGGGAGTGGATTTTTATATCCTCTGGAGCCTTTTGTTTGGAGTTGTTCCTGTGGCATGAACTTTGACCTGAGTCCGAATGTGCCCTTTGGTATCTGTGGGTTAATCCTATTATGTCCTGTCTTAGAGTTTGTGTGGGGTATGTAGTTTTTGGGTGTCTTTGTCTTCCTAAGCTTCTAGTTGGAGGGCTACAACCTTCCTGGATTATTTACATCTGTATTTCTACAGAGAAGGTTTTTGCTTGGGGGAGGGAGACTTGGGACTATTAAGAAAACTGGGCATGCTTTTCTGCCTCTTTAAGATCCTTTGAGAAAATATATTTTTCTTCCAGAGCCAACATTTTATCTAGCTCTCCTCTTCAATAAACTGCAACCTTCTTTCTAAAGCAGTCGCCATGTTGTTTATTCCCAGCTTGGACTGAACCACGATGAAGACTTTTCCTTCAACAAAAGTAAAAAAGCAGCCCAGGATGCCAACAGTCCAGAAAGAGTGAAATTTCCAGCCCTCTCCGGAGCTTGGGAAAGAAATATGGGTAGTTCTTGGGTTGTAATAGTAATTGGAGCCCGAGTTTTCATTGCTATGCAATGGGGTTATAAAAAGTGACATCAGGTGACCACATTGCTCAGTGAGGGCAATCTTGGCAGTTCCAGCTGCTATTGCCACTCTAAGACCCGTGGGTCATTAAGTGAGGACCTCATGTAATTGTGATGTGGGAAGAGGTAGGAGTCCCAGGCAAGCAAGCTAGCCGGTGAGAGCTACGGACAGGTGGATGGTCTCCAGGTCTCCACCTTTCAGGGGCTGGGAGAGGAACTGGCCTAAAGACCCCCAGCAGACTTTCTGCCTAAGATTCCCACTCATTTCCTAGGCTGAGGCCTTAACCCTCACACCAAAATGTCACTCATATAAGATCTTTTATCCCAGTTTCCTATTTTCTATATGATCTATGTCTACTCTATATTTTCAAGAAGTCTATAACACTATATTTCCATTTTTCTCTGCTCAAACTGCCCTTATCACTACAGTATATCTCCTTTCTCTATTCCTAAACTCTACATTTCTCAAATCCTAATCTCTATAGGTACCCCCCCCTCTCTCTCTCTCTCTCTCTCTCCCTCCCTCCCTCTCTCTCCATCTTCTATTTATCTAGCTGTCTCCAATCATCTCCTATAAACGTCAGTGTCTCTTTTATCTTTCATCTCTATCTCCTCCAGCAATACCATATGATGTGAGCATACTGCACAGATATGAGCAACGTGGAAGGGAAATGTTTGCCTAACCCTAGATCCTGGACTTCAGGCCAGGATCCATTTTTAAGAAGGGGTTTTTTTTCTGGTTGGCTAAGCGGACACAATTTCCAAACAGGAATGTGTATAAGAATTACTGATTAGAAAGAAGGAGAGAAGGCATAAACTGTATGATCTATTTTTTTTCCAATTTCTTGTTTATTGCTGATTTTCTGTTGTTGTTATGTGTTTTGAATATTACCTTAAATTTCTAATTAAAAAAAATGAGTGTCAGGCAGAAACACTTTTGTGTGCAAATGAACACTACCGTTCTTTTTACAATGCTTTCAAACATTTCTTTGAAAAGTATTAGTTTTGTTTACCAAATATAGATAGCTTTCTCAGCTCCCCTTTTTCTAGGCCGTGCTGTGTACGTGTCTCACTTTGATTTAATGGAGATTTCTGTGCTCAGGAAATTACGGAATCACCTCGCATTTAACAGACTTAAAATCAGTCTTGGCCTCCAGGAGTGAGACTAGTTCCCTTGGATCCCCTGAAATGCTGGTGCTTCCATGTCCTAAATCCTTGAGAGCCACAGGAAATCAGTTATAAATTTTGGGGATGTAGGGAGGTTTTGAGGGCAACTGAGAGCCAACTACTAAAGCACAGAAATCTTTAGATCAGCTTTCAACAAACCAGCCATCTCCAAATGTTTTGCCCAAGCTGCCTGGGAATGTTCAGTGCTGGAATCAAACTTCTCTGGAAATTCGGAAGGAATTCCAGCTTTTAGTGAGATGTAGGTTCTACAAAAATGCAGGTGGAAAAATAGTATCTCCTATCTAGATGTGGGTACTGATGTGTTTGGAAGTAACGTTGGTGGGCACTTCAAGGTTTTGTCCTGTATTTCATTCCAGGTACTCCTCACTTACGACCACGACTGAGCCCAAAATTTATCTTGCTACGTGAAGCGTTTGTTAAGTGAGTTTGCCCCATTTTACGACCTTTCCTTGTTGCAGTTCTTGAGTGAATCACAGTAGTTGTTAAATTAATTAAACTGTTATTAAGTCAGTCTGGCTTCCCCATTGACTTTGCTTGTCAGAAGGTCATGACCCCAGAACAATGCAGCCACCATAAATATGAGTCACTTGCCAAGTGACTGAATTTGGATTACATGACCACAGGGATGCTGCAACAGTCACAAGTGTGAAAACTGGTCATTACTCACTTTTGTCACTGCGCTTGTAACTTCAAACAGTCACTAAACAAACTGTTGTAAGTCGAGGACTACCTGTATTCTATTAATGGGATGAACCTAGCAATTTTTTAAGGCTGCATGTACAAAGAAGACCTTGGTTGACTCTTATGATGCAGCAACTGGCTAATCTTGGGAAGCTAAGTGGGGTCAGGCTTCACCCTTAGAGCTTCCCTCAGTTGCAAAGGTAGTTTTGGGGGGGGGTTATCCTGCACCCCAAGACGAAGAACTGCCTGGAAGACTCTCCACTGATCCCCAAGGGAGGTGTGCTTCCTTGTTGCCTGATGGCGCATTGTGTTCAACCCCACGGATGCTTTCCCTCGGTTTAGTTCCTGCAAGTGAAGCTCCTAGCTCAGTTGCAGTGACGATGAGGGCGTCCCTGCGAGACCCCAAAGGGCAGACGAGGGCTAGATCGTCCTGGAGAAAAGTGATGGACGTGGTGGCTAAGAATGGAAAACGCCTCTTCATTAAAACATCTTAGAAACGCCGGAGAAGGAATGAGTGTATTTTCAGGCTCGCGTCACTAGGTGGCGCTCTAACACAACGACAGCGCCTGGAAACCGTCAACATAATCAGCATAGCTGCTAGCTGAGTTCCGACATCCAACCGGAGGGAGAGCAGCTAAGGTCAAACGGAGTGAAAACCATCGAGTATTGCTAGAAAGGACGTCGAGGAGAAGACAAGGGCTGAGGAACGTCGTCTTCCATGGGAGGATGGAGAGATGTAGAGCGGCTCTCGTGCTCTTCCCAGGGACGAAGCAGCAGCTGGCAGGTGAGTGGGGGGCAGGTCGGAGGAGAGGGGGAGCAAGTAGATTTGCCTGCTTTCCCTCCACGGTGTAAAAGCAGAGCAAGCAACAAGGCTGAAACATGTCGGCTGCTGCTGCTGCATGTTCCTTCTGTTTCCAAATGTTTTTGCACTTATGCTGCATGATTAAAACTTCTGCCTGTGATTTTCTGCTGGGAGATGGGAGATGACACGATAGCAGCATTCCAGCGTTCCAATATTTGAGAGGCTGCCGCAAAGCAGCAGAAGGCGACATACGGAACAACGGGTGGAAGGTAATCAAGGAGAGAAGCAACCTGGAACTAAAATTTCCTAACAGTGAGAACAATTTAACCAGTGGAACAGTTTCCCTGTAGAAGCTGTGGGTGCTTCATCGCTGGAGGTTTTTAAGAAGAGACTGGCAGCCACTTGTCTGAAATAATAGGGGGTCTCCTGCTTGAGCAGGGGCTTAGGCTACAATTCCTACAAGGTCTATTCTGATTGATATGTGTTATGTGTTCCTGGCTACTTTCCTTCGTGACCAGAGGCAAGCTCGCCTGACCAATAACCAGCCAAGACACAGTGAAGGCTTTTTGTTTTGTTTATTGCAATAAGCGGAAGAGAAGCTTTCAAAGCTTGGTTCTCTTCAAAGTTTTAACCCAAAATATTCCCTTCTTTTATGCAGTCCTGTCCCCGGCCGCTACATCCCTCCTCTTTCCCCATTGGCTGAGGTACTATAAGGTTACACTTTTTCCGACCGCCTATACACATTTCCTGATAACATATTAAATCATATTCCACATATACAATAACAATAAGAAAAATTAGACATTTAAATGTTTATTTAAACTCTGTAGATATTTATGTCCTCTTTTTTTAGAACAATAGGTTCTTTTCCTGTTTTTCAATTCAGTGTGCCTTTCCTGGCTAGCCGTTTCCTCTTACAGCTAATTTTTTTTATAGTTTGTCTTCTTCCTTTTCCCACTCTTAAGACCCAGCTATTTTTGCCTATGTGTTTATCTTACTTCCTTTATGTTATCTTTTCCTGATTCCCACCAATTGTACTTATTTTTTTATTCAATTAGTTTCCATTGTACTGTAGGTTTAACTGACTCTGAAGATTTATCATATTGATACGTATGTATCAATATACATACACATATGGACACAGAAATATGTAAATTGTTAGGTGTCTATTTCTGTGGGCGTATATGTGTGAATTTGATAAACAAATCAATATTTTAACTTGAATCTTGATAGTCTTCTATATGCCAAGTCAATCATAAATAATGTTTATGTCATGGTTCCGATAGATGAAACCCATCAAAAGAACTTTGAGGCAAAATTCTTCCTTAATGTACATTTATTCGGGATACAAAGTATAGGCCCTACATAGTTGAACCCAAAAACTAAATTCCCTTCCCTCAGATACAAAGTAACAAAGTACAACTCCCACCCCCAATTAACTGTCATAAATCACATTCCCCAATTAGCTTAAAGCATGCTTTCTCCTCAGCTCCACAGCCGGCCAAAACGTTATCAACTTGTCCTTGGATTCCCACAGCAGCGTTGTTATTATTATTATGGCTAGCTGAGCTTACATTCCAATCCCCCCCTCTCTGCTGCCCCTAATTTCTAAAGAAAGAAAAAGAATGTTAAAGGAATAGAGAAAATGGCTGCATTTTCATCAGTTGTCGGAGCGGAAACATCCTGTGATAGCAGCATTGACAGTTAGAGGTTAAACTAGAATTTTGATGTTTTCATGGTAATATATGTTTGTTTTTTTTGCTGCTTTCACACGTCCTGCACCCATTTGTTAAACAATAATGAAACTAACCCATTAATATGAATCTTACAGATAAAGAGGATGCCAAGAAGAGCACTCTGCACAACAGGGAATGAGAAGCAGCATTAAAATGCAAGAGAAACCATCACCCAAAACCTTTTCTACTTCCTGCACGAAGTTTGAAAACTCTTCTCCTTTCTCATCAGATGAGAGACAAGGGAGCGAATAACAAGAACAAAGTTTTGAGATGGAAAAAATAGAGCAAGTGCAATTCAAGGAAATATTACACGAGACGTCAAGGGAGATAATATCCAAACAAAGAAAAAGGGGAAATAACTGGAAGTCGTTGGGATAGCCAAAATGGGCAGGCATTAATTAAAACCTTTCAGGAAGGTAAGAGTGAGTTGACTCAAAGAATCTCACAGTAAAAGATCAGAAACATTTTTGTCCTCCTCAAGAATCCAAGAATAGTAGTGATGGAAAAGCCACACAAACTGCTTAATGTGGGAAAAATAGAAGTTGCAGATCACAGCTGATTATGCACAAGACGATCCACCCAGTGAAAAGCGATACAAATGTTTGGAGTTTGGCAAAAGCTTTACTCAGAGTAGCTCTCTCATGGAAGGACCCATACAGGAGAGAAGCTCTACCAGACGACCCAATGTGACAAAATATTTAGCATGAACACTAATATGGTAAGACACAAGAGGACTCATGCAGAAGAGAAACCATATGAGTGCCCAGATTGTGGGAAAGGTTTCAGTTGGAATTCCCTCCTGGTGCAACATCGGAGGACTCACACGGGAGAGAAACCATATGAGTGTCCTGATTGTGGGAAAGATTTTTCTTGGAAATCCGTCCTGGTGAACCATCAAAGGACTCACACAGGAGAGAAACCATATAAATGTCATGATTGTGGAGAACATTTTAGTCAGAATTCCTACCTGGTGAAACACCAGAGGACTCACATGGGAGAGAAACCCTGTGAGTGTTCAGATTGTGGGAAAGATTTCACTTGCAATTCTGACCTGGTGAAACATCGAAGGACTCACACGGGAGAGAAACCCTATAAGTGTCCTGATTGTGGGAAAGGTTTCAGTCGCAATTCAAACCTGGTGATACACCAGAGGACTCACACAGGAGAAAAACCATATGAGTGTTCAGATTGTGGGAAAGGTTTCGGTCACAAATCACACCTGGTGAAACATCTGATGACTCACACAGGAGAGAAACCATATGAGTGTCTGTATTGTGGGAAAAGTTTCATTCAGAATTCAAACTTGGTGATACACCAGAGGACTCACACAGGAGAAAGACCACATGAGTGTTCAGATTGTGGGAAAGGTTTTGGTTACAAATCCCACTTGGTGAAACATCTGACGACTCACATAAGAAAGAAACCATATGAGTGTTCAGATTGTGGGAAAGGTTTCACTTTCAATTCCGACCTGATGATACACCAGAGGATTCACACGGGAGAGAAACCATATAAGTGTCCAGATTGTGGGAAAAGTTTCAGACTTAATTACAAGTTGGTGATACACCAGAGGATTCACACGGGAGAGAAACCATATGAGTGTCCAGATTGTGGGAAAAGTTTCATCCAGAATTACGACCTGGTAATACACAAGAGGATTCACACAGGAGAAAAATCATATGAGTGCCCAGATTGTGGGAAAAGATTCATCCGCAATTCGTACCTGATAATACATAGGAGGACTCACACAGGAGAAAAACCATATGAGTGTCCAGATTGTGGGAAAAGATTCATCCGGAATTCCTACCTGGTAATACATAGGAGAACTCACACAGGAGAAAAACCATATGAGTGTCCAGATTGTGGGAAAAGTTTCATCCGGAATTCTGACCTGGTAATACATAGGAGGACTCACACAGGAGAAAAACCGTATGAGTGTCCAGATTGTGGGAAAAGATTCATCCGGAATGCCGACCTGGTAATACATAGGAGGACTCACACGGGAGAAAAACCATATGAGTGCCCAGATTGTGGGAGAGATTTCAGTAGTAGGTATAAGCTTATAAATCATGTAAAGTTACACATAGGAGAGTAACCATTCAAATGCCCAGATTATGGACAGTGTTTTGCAGAAAATTCCTCTCTTATTACAAAAGAAATTCCACATGAGGAAAAATTTGATCTTGAATTTTGTTTCTTGTCTCTTACTGGAAGCCTAACTGAGAAATTATTAATTTCTTGCATGATTCTTTTTAGTCAAGCGTGTTTTATTAAACATGAGGGAAGAAATCTGAGCTTCCTCTGTCTGGCCTAGTGCATTCGTTCTCTTTCGCGGAGTCATGGTGAACTGTTGTGCTGGGCCAGAGAAAGCGAGCTTAGATCTGTATTAGGTATCTTTGCCACCTTGAGTTATTTCTACATATAATAAGCGCGGGGTATGTATCTTTATTTGTTAAGAAAATGTATATGGCATCCCACCTAATGGTGATTCCACAGAATTTACAGCAATAAAACCTGAATACAGAAACCAATAGACCCCATACATTGCAAAGGGCAAAATGCAAAGACCCCACGGTTAACATGCACTGGCCCTACAATACATGGCACCTCTAGCAAGGTTGATGGCAATTTGATGGTCCAGGAGTCCCAACAAGGTGATTCTTTTGTTCAATGTAGAAGTTAACCAGGCCCCCTGGACTTACTAACTACACATTGGGAACCCCATGTTAATACAATATATCTTATGTGCGGCCATAATTTGAAAACAATGTTTAATGTGGCAGAGTACTTGAGTAAAATGGTTTGGCTGAGATCAGCATATGTGGGACTGATTGGGGTAGATTTTAGGGGTGATACTGAGATATAATTCTATCTTATTTCACTTATCAATGTATCATATTGTTGTATTTTACTCCAATTTCATTTTAATTTATTTTTATAGGATTTTATTAATAATTGATGTTTGGAACTCTGTATTCTGATATGGCCAATGGGCTAATTAATAAACTAAACTATTAAAACCAAATGCATACAAACAAAAACCTGGTTTCAATTCAGGCTTCTGATGTGCAGGCGCCTCTTCTTATCCCAGTGCTTAGGGGAAAAACTGGATCTTCCTTGCTTTACGGAAGACATGGAGGATAAAGGCCTGCCACACTTCAGGGGGAAGAGTGTTTCATAGGGCAGGGTCTGCAACAGAAAAAGCTCACGTCCTAGCTCCTATCAGATGGCAATATTTAAGGGAAGGGGCTAGGAGTGTGGACCCCCTATTTGACCTTGTAGAACAGATAGATGCAAAAATAATAAAGGTGGGACAATAATGACAGGTGCCCTGTTGTGTCAGTGGTTACAATGCAGCATTGCCCATTGACTCTGCCCACAGCCTGAAGTTTGATCCTGACGGAGGTCTTCCTTGCAAAATGCTCCAAATCTGTCAGATTGTGAGGGTCACCCCAAGATTTTCAGTTGGATTCAAGTCCGGGCTCTAACTGGGCCATTCCAAAACTTTGATCTTCCTCTGGTGAGGCCATTGTTTTATTGACATGGAAGTATGCTCAGAGTCATTGAATGGTGAAATTATTGTTCATCTTCAGGATTCTGGCAAAGGCTTGAAGGTTTTGTGCCAAAATTGACTGATATTTAGAACTGTTCATAATTTCCTCCACCTTGACTAAAGCTCCAGTTCCAGGTGAAGAAAAGCAGCCTGAAAGCATAAGGACCCCTTTACCATCCTTCTCTAGAGCCACAAGAACTCATTCATACAATTGTAGGACTTTTAGAGGTTTTGATGTCCCTTAAAAACCACTCCGGTGAAAAGGCAGGAAGCTTTGGAACAACTTCCTGCAAACTGGCTTCCTCCAAGTATTTTGCTCAATCTGCTTGCGGAATAATAAGGCTGAAAGTTAACAAGAGAAGTTAATTGGGAAGGCTGCTCTGAGCAATTCTGCCCTCTAGTGAGATTTAGGCCCTGCAAGAATGCAGATGGAAAAATAATATATGCTATCCGGATGTGTTTCGAAGCAATGTGGGTGGGCACTTCAAGATTTTATTCTGTATTTCATTCCAGGTAGTCCTTGATTTACGATCAAAATTGAGCTCAAAATTTCTCTTGCTAAGTGAAACGTTTGTTAAGTGAGTTTGCCCCATTTTACGACCTTTCCTTGTCGCAGTTCTTAAGCGAATCACAGTAGTTGTTAAATTAATCAAACTGTGATTAAGTCAACCTGGCTTCCCCATTGACTTTGCTGGTCAGAAGGTCATGACCCCAGAACAATGCAACCGTCATAAATATGAGTCAGTTGCCAAGTGGCTGAATTTTGATTCCGTGACCACAGCGATGCTGCAATAGTCCTAAGTGTGAAAACTGGTCATTACTCACTTTTGTCACTGCGGTTGTAACTTCAAACAGTCACTTAACAAACTGTTGTAAGTCGAGGACTACCTGTATTCTATTAATGGGATGAACCTAGCAATTTTTTAAGGCTGCATGTACAAAGAAGACCTTGGTCGACTCTTATGATGCAGCAACTGGCTAATCTTGGGAAGCTAAGTGGGGTCAGGCTTCACTCTCAGAGCTTCCTTCAGTTGCAAAGGTAGTTTTGGGGGGTTATCCTGCACCCCAAGACGAAGAACTGGCTGGAAGAGTCTCCACTGATCCCCAAGGGAGGTGCGCTTTCTTGTTGCCTGATGTCGCATTGTGTTCCCCCCACGGATGCTTTCCCTTGGTTTAGTTCCTGCAAGTGAAACTCTTTATGGGAAAGAAATGACAATAAGAACCACACAATAACAGAGTTTTCATAAAGACGTGCACCCTTAAACTGATATTTTCTTGAGGTACTTTTTGATTTTATCACAGCATGCAGGGCAGGAATCTTTAGACCAGCTTTCTGCAAACTAGTTTCCTCCAAGTATTTTGCTCAAGCTGCTTGGGAATAATATGGCTGAAAGGTGGGAAGGCTGGGAACTGGGAAGGCTGCTCTGAGGAATTCTGCCTTCTAGCAAGATTTAGACTCCCCGATAATACAGACAGGAAGATCATATCCACCTCCTGTCTTAGGTGGGGTTCAGAAGCAATGCCAGTGGGCACTTCTGGATTGTTCCTGTGTTTCATTATTGTATTAATAGGATGTAGCTGACAACCATTTATGACCACACAAAGAAGCAAGAACTTCATGAACTTTAGGGCGCAGCACTTGGCTAAACCTCTGAGCCTAAGTAGTGCCAAGCTTCCCTCTTACACAGTGGTTCTCAACCTTTTTAATGCCGGTCGTAAGTCGAGGACTTTCCCTGCCCGGGAGCACTGCGCATGCGTGGTTCCGCCCCCTGCACCGGCCGAGGCGTAGCTGGCAAGCGGCAGAGACGGAGCAGGCCAACCACCAGCTGGCCCAGCTTAAGGGAGGTAAGGCACCCGCCGGAAAAGGGGAAAAAAATGACAGACAGCCTTGCTTGGCGAGCCCCATGAAATGGTCGATCAACCCCAAATGGGGTCGCGACCCATAGGTTGAGAACCGCTGCTCTTACAGCTTCAATCATTTGCAGAGGCAGGTTTCGAGGAGTTATTTTGCACCCCTTCCCCAAGAAAAAAAACCTGACTGGAACAATCTTCTCCAGCCCCCAAGTAAGATGTACTTTCTCGTTGGTGGTTGTACATCACCCCCCCCCCACGTGATTTATACTTTTCTTCAGTTTAGTTGCAGCAAGAGGGATAATGAGTTCACTCTTGGGAGACCTGAAAGAAAAGGTTTGGGATAGATTGTTGACAGAAGTAAAGGAAAGGTCTTCAAAATTTTAATATTGAAAGAGAAATTTAAAATTGAATTTGCTGCAGTGGAAACTTACTGCCTGGACAAACAAGCTTACCAAAACTAATAATATATGGGAACCAGGAAAGGAGACCATAAAGAAAGGATGTAAGAGAAACACGTAGGCAAAAATTAGCTGGGTCTTAGACTGGGAAAGGAAGAAGACAAGCTATAAAAACTTCTGTAAGAGAAGATAACTAGCAAAACAGGAAAGAACCTATTTTTCTAAGAAGTCATAAAAAAGGGGGCCAGAACTCAGGCAACTGAGCATGTGCAATTAGTTGATTAATATTAACTGACACACCTTGCATAAATTATATTTTAATTTTAATGTACATGTGATGTATGATTTAGTATGTAGCAGGAAATATGTAAGAGGTGGTTGGAAAGAGTGTAACCTCATAGTACCTCAGCCAATGGGGAAAGAGGAGGGATGTGCAGCCGGAATAAGGATTGTATAAAGAAGGGAATATTTTGGGTTGGAACTTTGGAGAGAACCAAGCTTTGATAGCTTCTCTGTGCTTTTTTTGTAAAAGAAAAAAAAGA